CTGGGATCGTTGTGTTCACTCCCAGGGGAACTACTTCGAGGGTGATGGATGAATTTAATACCTGAGATAAGTGTACGGGTTTTTATAGGCGCAGTCTAGAAACTTTCCGATCGCACCTCGTAATGAAATAGCGTTTTGGAATCAGAAGGAATAGATGCTATCAACATTTTGCTCCAATGGCAGAAAACCTATGATGGATTCGTTTATCATCTGAGAAATTTTATCACTTGTTCATACTGAAAGGACGTAACACACACGTGAGCAGTCTCTGCTCCTAACGTCAATTTGAATTCGACAGCATTCTTACAGGCAACAAAGATATGATTTTATGAGATGACGCTTACTTTCAGTGTAAATGACTACACACTCACACGCCTTATCCCTCATAGATTACAGACTTCATGCAAACTGAGGGACTTAATGAATATAGAAAAAACTGACTCTGTGGAAAGACAAGTTGTACTTTGTATTGTTTCTGTCTTTACGGTTATTCACGTTTAGACTAAGTGAATTATAAAATTGCTGTGTTACCATCATCCTGCACTATTTGATGTCCTCTTTCCTTCCTGTCTCGACCTTGTCCCCATCTTATTTTTGTTCTCCTGCGCGAACTAAATTACTTATTCTTTATATATATATATTACATATTTTAAGTTAGAAGTTTACCGACTTTCAGAGGTCCTTGCTGCCTCCATCATCGGAGCGCCCTGATGATGGAGGCAGCAATGACCTCTGAAATACTGATAAACTCGTACCAGACTACACGTTTCAACAACCCAGAAGACAGCCATCTTCAGACTCACCACAGTGAAAACCTAAATCTTACATGTAATTAATCCGTTTTTTTCTTCTTAACCCTTAATATTCAAACATTTCAACCGAAATGTTTGATGTTCTATTTCTGTTATGAACTATTTGCTATTCCTCCGTCATCGGCACCTTATTTTTAATCAGCTGTGTAATATTAAGGACTGTTTTGTATGACAGAAAATTAACTTCCTTTCTAGGTTACCTGGAATGAACACTAAAATATAAAAAACCTATTTTTATAAGAATGAAAATGTATGCTGATATTAAATCCCAGCCCTTTTTACGTGTTGCAAAATTTTCTTGTTAAAAATTTCATAATTCATTTTAAAAAATTGAAATTCTGAAAATTTAATAAGTCAAGAGAGTTGCCTCCTTGCTTTCAAATTCAATATCCGTCAAAACTTTGTAGTTGGTTTATTTGGTTACCAGTGCCATATAATTAACCTGCTGATTAAGTAGTTAAGTTATCACTGTGAACCCCCACCACAGTCATGCTGTCGTTTGATTTGCCAGGCGTTAATAGATATCGTGACCCATTTGTCTGATCCATTGTCCAGTCCACTTGGCATCGTCAAATCAATGTGCCTAAAAACAAGTTCAGATGTTCAAAACAAATGTCTCAATTATGTCACAAAATATCTGTCAAGCTTTACTCCATCTGTCGGCCAGTAAATGAACCATTTTGACATTCATCCTATTACATGTGACGCCCTAACAGATGAACCTCTGTCAAACGTCAGAGTACAGATTAACAGAGAACATTTTTTAACCGCGATGGATCTTACTTGAGAACCAGCAATAGTAAACGCCCATATCGGGTTTCAGTACAGCAGGTGACAGGTCCCAAACGTCCACGGCGGCAGTAATAGCAGTGAGGGCGCTGGGGACGCCCCAGGCATATATGGAGTACACAATGAAGCGACGTCTCTCGCGTTGCTTCCTGGTACCAGCGCCTTGTCCCATGGAGCGTATGACACTAGACACACAGACATTCAATTACCTTCAAGGAATTTTATCAGTATGTTTGCATAAGTATATTCCTACAACAAACATAGAAAATATAGAGACTTTTATAAAATACATTAAAATTCTTCACATAATTCCTGTGAAGTTGACGGCAAGGCAACATGTTGAACCAACAGCAGGCCTAGTACTGGCCAAAAGGGTACAGTGTTTCCTCACGTTTAGTCAGGAGCCCGGTATCCAGCCCAATTCTGAGCCAGATGAATCCAATTCACACTCCAGTTCCTATATACGTAATACCCAATTTGTTATTATCATGCCATCAACACCTAGGACTTCGAGTGGTCTCGTTCATCAGGCTTTCCAAACCATAATTTTGTACATATATTTGTGTCTTTATGTATACACCCCCATTCCCCCATCTCTGTGTCCCGCCCACCTATCTTCCTTGATTTTATCAATAATTGTATACTCGAAATTTCTCGGTCGCACTTTTCTGAGCAACAGAAAATGCTAACCGAAAACATAATACGTTTTTGTACACAGTTTTAGTACTTTTATCCTCTTCGGCACTATTACACCTTAAGCTTAATCAACAAATCAGTCACCCTTCCTATACTAAACAGTAAAGTGATTTTGCCAAAGAGGCTTACAACCACTATAATTAAAAAAATTAAATATATCCCGCTACAAGCCACATAGGCGCTCAGGGGAGAGAGTATGTAGCTCCTACTCATTCTCAACCTCGGCACTAGATGGTGGTGAGTGGCCAGGTTTACTTCCCGGCTCCGCTTTACAAATTGAACAGGAAGCTGAGTGGACTCCAGAGCCGGTGTGAACGAAAAGGCTACAATAAAATCCTCTGCCACTGTCGGGGATCGATTCCAGATCGTCCAGCCCGTACTCAGCTATTATACGTACTAACTGATTTACTCAACTCCAGACCCACTGTGAGACAAAAGAAAAATTACGATGAATTACTTTAACTATATTTGGTTTTCTCATACATTGTATTAAACTAAATTGAACACCTATTGTAATTTAAACACATAATTATCCATACAATGACAAAACCACACGGATAGCGTTTCTGAGATAAAATTCTCGGTGTGAAAGTCGATATTGTTTCTACTTGGTTGGCTCAGAAATACGAATTCTCTCACAGCTTCTGAACATCTTCAGTCATGATTATTGTTTAATATATTCCTTGTCTTCGTTTACATGTTGACCTTGGTAGAAAAGTTAGCCTCACTGTGATGCGTACTGTCAAATGTAATTAGAGAGCCTCGATAGGGAGACGAGGGCATTTTAAACTAGCTATTCGCCAAAATTTGCGAAGTAAGGATTCCGAAATATCTGTTTTCATTGTGTTATCTTCTCGCAGGCCAATGAGTGTGCTTTCCCTTGCCACTATTGTTTTGTAACTTTTCATCATTGTAAGTGGACTCACAACTCATGCATTCGCATTGCACTTTTCTTCCGTGTGGCCAGAATCGACAGCTCTGCTAGATACAACCAGACAGAAATTTAATTTATTGATAATATAATAAGACACATGGATGCGTCACCTGTTTCAATTCTACGTCCGTGAAGACTGAAATCACTGCGAGAGCTAGCAACGTTTTACGTAGTGAGAAGTTTAGCTTCTTATTTCCGTAAAAAATTTAAATGTGTGCTAATTTAAGAATGATTGTGTGGTCCATTACATTTTCAAACAATTCTAGGCCTGTGGCAAACCTCTATTTTTCAAAGAACACTGATAATTCTCTTTAGTTACACCACTCGGTTTAAGAATTTTCTGCGCCCAAACCAGCGAACTTCTGCTGAAATAGAAATGAATGTTCAGCTCTAACCAGTTTACATAACACTTTTAAGATTCATGAATTTTTGGCATTACCTTGGATGAGGTTAAATACTTTGACAACAGCACAGAACACTACTCTAAGATTTGGTGGAAATGGCTTTACCCAAAGGACACCCTTGAAATGAGAGGTGGTTTGCTTTTTGTGAGCTGTAAAGCCAGAACAATAGTGCTTTATCAGAGTATATATCTAGGCAACACGGAGTTTTCCTCCGAGAGCTTTCCCGGTTTCTCCGTGGCATCCCAACAATTACTCCATTCACACACAGAAGAAGGCAATGGCAAACCACTTCTGGATCATCTGCCAAGAACGTATATGAACAGGTCCCAGTCCGAGAAAAGGATGGAAGGATCCTGTTCATATGGACCTGTCGTCAGACAGAACACTAAAAATAAAAATAAATAAATATCGACTAAGTACGTCTATTTTAACACCTTATTAACGAATACATTTCACAATGTCTTTAACACTACGCATAAATGCACGCTTCAAAAGATCAAGAATAATTCTAAGTGGAGGGGGGAGGGTCATGACCCGAAAACGGGCCGAAGCACCATAGAAGATGTTGATCCTTAATCCCCTTGTAACTGAACCTCATAAGCTCTACCGAAAAATATTAGAATCCTACACACCTGCTGTTGCTTGACTGACAACAACAGAAGGAAGAGATGCAGCGCAGCGCAACACGTGTCAGAAGTCCGCATCAAAACCAGACACGTGCGATTATAGAACAACGCTTACAAACCGCACTATAAAATTCTTATTTTTTATATTTTATTTACTGAAGCAACGATTGAAATTAAACATCTAGCATTAGAAATTTGGTTATAAAGCAGAGAAAACAGCGTTATAGCGATAAAAATGAAAGACAGAATTTGTTATTTACTACCCTGTAAATTACACCATGCTAATGTAAAATATGTATAGTATTGTAAATCGCTAATGAAGTCACCATGATTTGAATTGGCATTTTTTACACTGAAAGAGGCAACGACCTCAATAATATATATTATTTTTGTCTTGGTCACTAAGTACAAAACTAATTATTTTTTATTTTCCTCTATATAAGGAAGAATTATAATGTTAATTTCTAATAAATCACTAAAGACTGATTGGACTGAAAGAACAACTAAGCGATCTTCCTCACGATTGCAAATATGCCTTTTCAACAAAGCATTCTTATAGGAATTTGATTTCTTCATCACTCAAAATAAAGAAAATAAGCAAAAGTAGTCCATGGCTTTTTTAATCTTTCAATAATTCCCCTGAACAGTGGTTCATGACATGGGGTTGTTTACCGCCGGAGCATATTTCAGTCGTAGCGTGCTGGTCAGGTACACTCTTCTGATAAATGGAGTAAAACCAGCAATAAAATATTTATTTAAAGAATTTTAATTACTGTTCCTTTCGAGATGGTTTTGTATAGGCCGTGGTTTATTTATGTGGCTTAAAAAATTATTATTAATTAGCAATGAAATTGAGGGAATGTTGAAAAAAGTGGTCGGGACCTAATTCAAGGAATATCCCAGAATTGGCCTGGAAGGACGAAGGCAAACCACAAAAACCCTCAGTCATGTTAACTGACTTCTGTGCCGAGATTTAAACCAGAGACCTTCCGAATACAAAGCAGGAGAATTAAGAGCTCAACAACGACGTTCTGTAACTGACTGTAGTTTAAAATTCTGTGCGTAATCTACGATAGGGAGACGTCGTAAACACTTTATTAACCATACGAGGTGCGATCGGAAAGTTTTAAGACTGTGTCAATAGAGGGCGAACCGGATGTAGTTCGAGCTTCTGCCGCTAGGGGGTGCGGCCTACATTCATAGTGAATCAGTGTGCCAGCCGGCATCATCGAATTAGCATTTGTTTCTTAGTTACGGGCGTTTTGGTAGTGCATTACACCGACCCTCCTGCGATTTCGGAATGGCGGATTTTCATGAACAAATCAAATTTTGCCAAAGACTCGCCAAAACGGCTAAGGAAACCTATGAAATGCTAAAGCAAACATTTGGGGAGTCCGCAAACTTTTGTGTGGCATTCACGTTTTAAAAATGGCCGAACCTCTGGCG